CTAAATCTACAGTAAATTTAGCCAGCTAAAATCTAATGGGTTTAGTTACAGTGTAATGCATTTATTAGTCAAAACGGAAAATTCGACGTCATTTTGTGTGTCATTTTCCGTTCATGCGACGCGAAAGAGTACTCGCGCGCTTTCTGTTTGTGTGTGCTTCAGTGTCTGCGCTCAGAAAACCGGACCGAATTGAGTTCTCTCTTGTGTCGTCAGATTTATCTATATGTCTGCTCTTCTCTTACTCCCACATATTGACATTTTTGAACGTTTTATGTGACGTGCAGCAAGTGTATTTTAGCTTATGTCCTGCTGGTTCATGTATGCATCTAACCTCCTAACTATGAAGCAGATTCGTCCTGAAATTGAATGAATCTCTTCCCAAATCGTCCCTCCCTAACACTTTCGTCACGTTTTTATTCGTTGACGAAAATTTCAATATATTTACGTCATAGTTTTTGTCATTCAAAAAGAGTTTTAGTTTGTTATCGTCTCGTTGTCGTCAGTGAAAAAAATGTCGTTGACGAACATTATGACGAAAATTATTCGTCAACGAAATTAACACTGGTAGAACAAAAATATTAACTTAATTCTTTATCAGCAGTACACAAAATGCATACAGACTACATGCTACAGTCCATGTTCAGAATTACAACTTACAATAATCAAAAACAAGTTTTCTGCGCTATAAGTCGGTAACTGAACTTAAGCCCGGCATAATGAAAATCAGAAGTTTGCCAAAGGTAATTACAAATCATGTGCGTTCAACTCATAAATACAATCATTCTGATACATGACTTGAATGCAGCAATTTAAAGAAATGCTGCTCTACTGTTCATTTTTCAGTATCCTCGAGAAGAAAAAAAAAAGCGTAACAAAACTTCATATAAAGAGCTGGGCGTTAATTTAGTTACATTTTGCGATGACTACTTTACAACAAAGACCCTTGGAATATGCGGTCACATGTATTCATCTATCAATGGATCCAGTGTGGTTCATTCAAACTGAATTTAAAGCCAAAACTCTCCATTTATAACTAGGCTTGAATAAGCTGCTACCACTGGGGGCCAAACTCACAACTTTCCAGGTGGTGGCCCACTTATCCAGCCGGAAGGCTGCATCTCCCCTCCATCATTCTCTTGACATATCTTTCTCTCTCTGTGCGTTAGCCTTTAGCACTTTCACTCCTAGCAGATGATTACGAACACGACGTGAAGTGTCGGAGTGGCCCTAGGGGCCCCTGACCGTAACACTGTGCCTTGAATTCTGGAATAAAACAGACTCATGCACATAAACAACACACACAAACTTGTGCCTGGAGCTCTTGGTGCTTTGTTAATATCATGAGTACACAGACACAGTGTGAAGGGCCAAAGGGCCCGACTACACATAACCAGATTTGATGGAACTAGTGTCAAAGTGAAACACCCTGATATATTTTGCCTTTTTCTTTCCTTTTTGCACTTCCCTCTGTTTGTTTCTTTCTCTCTCTCTCTTTTATCTCACTCACAACATCGTGTAAAGAGGAGGACAAGGTTTGTGGCTCTTTGGTCATGTTTTCTCAGCCTAAACTGATATGACAGTCAAGGCTTACAGCCGCTACAGGCCTTTTACAGCGAGGCTTTCTTTTCATTGCCATGTCAGAATGTCGCCATAAGAAAACATGCTCCACTTTTCACTGAGAGGAAAAAAACAAAAAACAAACATGACAAAACTAAGATTGAGTCTCTTGCTGTCTAGAGGAGATAAATTATGTCAAAAATAACTAAACTAACAGGTTTACTCTGGTAAAGGTCTTCATATATAGACATCGTCATGCTAAATGAAATCAAGCTGATTTTGTTGCAGTAAATATTGCATCAGGAAGCAGTTTTTAGATGTTTGTGCAGTTGAGAACTCATGGAAAAATCTATTAATTTAATCTTTGAAACCAAATTTACAATAGTAGATCAACAAATATTTAACTAATATAAATACAGGTAATGTAAGTTGGTTGGCTATGACTTAAAATGTTATTAATTCTAGTAATATTAATTCTAGAGTAATTCTCTCTCTCTCTCTCTATATATATATATATACATATAATGTGATTTATGAGGACATTTTGAGTGTACCCATATTTCAAAAGGCTTATAAATCATTCAGAATGAGTTTTTTTTTTAAATCTAAAAATGCATAAAGTTTCCTGTAAAGGGTAGGTTTAGGTGTAGGGTTGGTGTAGGGCAATAGAAAATACGGTTTGTACAGTATAAAAACCATTACGCCTATGGAATGTCCTCACAGTGTGTGTGTGTGTGTGTGTGTGGAAATGGAAATAGCTAGCAATGCCAGAAAATGATTTCTTTCCCTTTGCAAATAACCAAACAATAAAAGAGGTTGAGTACTGACTGCATGACAGAATGAGTCCTGAAACCTTTAAACTCTTGTCTCTTCATGCTGACAAAACATATGAAATAAATAACCTAGCGGCTCATTAAGATTGTATTTATTCATTTATTTTATTTTTTGAAAGAATTAGTACTTTTATTCAGCAAGGATGCACTCGATTGATGAAAAGTTACAGTATTGTCACAAAAAATTATATTTCAAATAAATGCTGCTATTGAGCACAAAATCAGCACATTAGAATGATGCAATATTAGATATTAGCATATTAGAAAGAACATATTTTAAATATATTACAATATAAAAAAACCGTGTTTGTGTGTGTAGGGAACACATGTTTTCCCTGATATTGTTTCCCTGGTATTTTTATATTTTAATATATTTAAAATATGTTCCTTCTAATATGCTAATGTGTGTGTGTGTGTGTGTGTGTGTGTGTGTGTGTGTGTGTGTGTAAATGGAAATAGCTAGCAATGCCAGAAAATGATTTCTTTCCCTTTGCAAATAGCCAAACAATAAAAGAGGTTGAGTACTGACTGCATGACAGAATGAGTCCTGAAACCTTTAAACTCTTGTCTCTTCATACTGACAAAACATATGAAATAAATAACCTAGCAGCTCATAGTGGCAGTTGTTACCTGACATTCTTAGGTGACAGGTAATGTCAGCGTGCATGTGTGTGTGTTTGCATGCAAACAAACATTTGAGCATCTGATGAAAAGTGAGCTTTCTGTCATGCATAAACAGCGGTCCTGTGACATGTTGCCTGACATGCCTGCGGAAATTTAGCATATAAAATGCACTGCTGCTTTTGAATATTTCACAAGGGTATACAACACACTTTTTTTTTCTCTCAGCTTCAGTGTCAAGAGTATACTGCACTCTCAAATAAAGAAGTACAGGGAATATATTTATAGAAAATGTGATTATCTTTTGAATGAGAACAGTAAGTCAATAAAACAATGAATCCCTGCAATTTCCAAAGCTTATTTTCATCCATAAGAAGAGCATATACAGAGTATTGAACATGGGATAAAAACTAGTTCATTTCAGGGGAGTGTTATTTCTCTGTGTAATGTATTTATCTGTGAATAAACGGTGGGAAAGCATGTTTTAAAAAGTAGATTATGAGCCTATGTTTGTAAAAATGCATTTCACGTAGTTGTGTGATAAAACGTGTGTGTGCATAACTCTTGACATATTGATAACTTAAACATTTCTACACATAACAATCATTATGAAAAATGTAAATCTCATGAATGCACCATACGGTTCTAATGAAGCAAAAAAAAAAAAAAAACAGGAATGAAACTAATTCTATTCAAAAGAAACACTCTAAAAACCATGAGTTTTCAAACCTTTTGATGCCAAGGACCCCCATATTGTGATCCCCTTGCAAAGGATTCCCTTCTGAAAATATAAAAGTTGCTCTGTATTTTTGTGTATAAAAACACATTTATGAATATATTAAAGGTGAATATATGCAGTGACTCACTTTATAACATATTTACTTTAGTACGATAACAATAAAAAGGCCAAATATTTAATTTAAATATTTTATATATATTTATTATACTTTTAATTATATTTGTTACCAAATTAAATGTTTTTATTGTTATTCTACTATTGTAATTATTTATAATCTAAATGTTAATATATTATTATTAGACACTAATATGCATATTAATATGTTAATACTGTATATGTGCAATAATATAATGATTAATCTCATTATTACTGACCTGTTTTGACCAAAAGAATGAAATATTACTAATAACAAATGTGAATTGTAAAAAAATCTTCTGTGAACCATTAGCACCACTTTGCAACCCCGAGTTTGAAAACCTTTAAACCGTTTGATTACAGTAAACAGTAGCAAACTTCAGTCCTCACAGGAAAAAATTATCTGCAAATGCCATGTAGCTAGCTGTAAACATGTTGACAGCTTAACCTACACAGTTTCTTATTCAGACTGTTGCTCTGTCTTAAAATGAGTTAATCTGAATGAAAACCAACTCTACAGTAGGGCTGCACGATAAATCGAAATGGAATCGAGATCGTGATTCGACAGAAGCTGCGATTGTCATGCGTATCTTTCAGTGAAGCACGGTTCTGTGATCAGCAGTAAATCTCCATCCAAAGGCCAGAGGGGGCTCTCGCGCTGAAACTCCAAATACGCCTCGCAGAAGAAACCCAGAAAATGCCTATCGCTGCAGCTGAATAAACAGAAGATTAAACTGCTTTGAACTACGGCTATGTGTAGTAAATTCTGCTCCATCTGAAAGCACGTGATGATGATTTCCTGCTGATTACAGAACCGGCATTACTATCAAAATGCGCATGACAATCGCATTCGATTAATCGTGCAGCCCTACTCTACAGGACAACGTATTAGCGCTAATGCCCGCTACGGTGCCCCTTGTGGCAACACTATGAAACCAAAATTGAGCTTGCGTAACCAGAAGCATATGATTTGTTTCAAGTCCCAACCAAATAAAACCAAATCAAAATCTATCAATGGCTTTCAAACAAGCTCTAACCAATAACCACAGCAGACTGCAGAAGAAGACATCGTCACTGACACTTTAAACGACCAGAGCACTGGAAATAAAATGGTCGTAAATATAAAGAGAGGCTCATTTACCCAAGGTGCAACAGGACACCTTTCACCATTTAATCAGTCAGTCACCCAAGAGTGATGTCCCTAATATCATGATTCCACCATTTCTCTGTTTAACATAATTAAAATGTCCGCTGCCGGGGCCATAAACGGGAGGAGAGGATACTGTAATTCTGCCGTAAAGCCGCAGAGCGTGAAAATGTCACTTACCGAGTACCCTCGTCCTGACAGAGAGTGAGTGGAGCTCTGGGGGAGAGAGAGAGAGAGAGAGACAAAGAGAGAGAGAACAACGTTGACCTTTGAGGGACACTATGAGATGACAGAGACATGATGAAGTTCTAGCACTTTAATATCAATATTCACATTAACCTTTTTCCCACCCTTTGTTCCTATCGTTCGCCTAATGACATTCCTTTTCCCTTTCTCTCTCTCTCTCTTTCTCTCTCTCTCTCTTTCTCTCTCTCTCTCTTCAGAATCTGCTAGAACACATGACTCATATGACTTGAGGACAATAAAGCCCTGGACAAATCAGCCGTCTGGTAACCCAAGGCCTTTTCTCTTCAGCAAGACTTGGGTTTATCTTAAAATGAGCTTTAGAGGGACGCCTATATTGTTAATCTAGAAAAACACCCGGTTTCCTCCTGTGATAAACCAAAGAAAGTCGAAAAGTATTTTTTTTGAGTTTCTGAAAAAAAAGTATGCAGTTACTAAGGCCTTCTGAGTGGTTGCTAGGGCATTGCTATGTGGATTCTAGGGTGTTGCTATGGTGTTCTGGGTAGTTGCTTCAATCTGGTCTATAGATGGCTTGGGTCTCAATTCTTTCGCCTGGTAATGGCACATTTTTCTTTAAAAAGTCATATTATTTCATCACCACAGATCTTTTATACAGTACAAATGGTTTAATATGAAGCTTAATACTTAAACCATCTAACCCCATGAGCAACAATAGCCTTAGTCACTAATAATATTTTATGCTAACATGTTTCAAAATTTAAAGTCGTTCAGTTGTGTACTTTGCATTCAGCTAAACATTCTGGCATTAACCTAGCAATACAGAGTAGCCAAGATGATTCTTATATAGCAGGTTACATCATTTTTGAGAACTGTGTCATAGATTGTCATCATAAAGGAAATGACATTTCAGATCAGAACCAAGACACTCGGCGTTTGCATCCATTTTCCATGCTGTTGCATCAGCCCTTGTCAGTTTATGGTAAATGAGGGGGAACGAAAGCATTTTATTTTGCCGTGACAGATTCCTTGTTAGATTCAGATTCACATAGGGGCCTTTAAAACAGGTCAGGGCTGCCTGAGTGAATCATCAACAACTATAAATCACATGGAGTGCTGAAGGTAGTTTAAGACTCCAGCAAGTCAAACAAGGGAAACAATTCAACCAGCCAAACAAATCACAATTGTCTACAGCATAAATGTCCCTAAAACTATAGATAGTTAACATTTGTAATTAAAGAGTTCAGAATCTGTGCCACTAACACAAAGTTTACAGATTACACTGCAAAGAAATAACTTAATGACAGTTACTGACTTTCTAATGCTGCTCTACCACCATTACTCATTCAAGCAAGAAAGCTAGGCTAACCACAGGCTACTGCCTTACTCTAACTTGGGAAGAGAAACATTTGTTCCTTACAAATAAACTAGTCACTGAGTCTGAGCTCTGTAAGTCTGCAGCTTTGGCATCAACTCTCTGAAAGACATTCAAGATTTTTTTTAGTTAAGACATTCTCAAGCACAAAGTTTTCAGTTGTGTTCAGTAAATCGTGTGGAAATTCTGACAGCATACATTTATTTCATGTTTTAGGAATCTTTCTTTGAGACTGCTGCGCCATCATTTGAATGAGTTACCACTTTTTTTACACACAGGCCTACTATTGTGGTATCATCGACTTCAGATTTGCCTGCCCGATAGTTTGCATGCATAAAAAAAAATGTTTTTGGTCACTTTACATGTTGGTCAGGCGGCCTTCCTGTCAAAATGGGCAGTTCATTATGGCCAGAGTAAAACCCAAAATATACTGATCAAATTGTTGCTGCTTCTTTGTGGACAAGTATCTGCACATATTATGACCTTTCACAATTCAGTTGATTAACTGGCATCAACACTCCCAGTAAGATTAATACAAAGAATAGTAAGGTTCTAATAATTCAAAACTATAGTATTCAGATTAAAAAAAAAAATCTAATTACAGTTTTTGGATATACATATTAAATTCAATACAACATGAAAATTCACATTATCTATCTATTTTCTAAATGCATGTTATTGATGTTATATCTCACACAGATCGCAACACACTTAACTTAAAGAATCCCAATATCACCATAATGAAGTTCATTGATACATTATTGTATTGCCAGGTCACACCTGATTCTCAACCTTAGATGAAATATTACAAACAAAACAAATAACCACCCCACAACTGCTGTAATGCATTCCACAGACAACTAAAACCTTAAGAAACAAGTAAAGCCATAATCCACATAACCCACACTAGCTCGAATGAGAGAACCGAACGAAGCCTGTTACAGACATCTCCAGTAAGACTAGATGGCAACTTCCACATCCCAGCACCACAGACTAGGCCTGAATACCAATCTCCAAATCTCTCCTGCTCTCCCTCCCATCATTTCCCCCCTCTTTTTGCCTCTTTCCTCTGTGCGATTGGCAATTTCTGCCTCTGTCTCAGGGGGTGACTTTTCCGCAAGACCAATTTTGTCCTTGCGCAGAATTCAGTCACACACACACACACCTGCTAGGGGTTTAACCCTCATCAGTTCCTATGGTTCTCTCTCACACTCAGTACAAACTCCCACTGTGACAATTAGAGAAGTGTTCCTGAGAAAACCTGAAAAGGCGGCACTGCAGGATCCAAATACTTTTCCAGAACCTCTCTCTTTCTCTCACAGAAAAGCGAGGAGGCATAATGTATGGAGAAGAGCGAGTGGGTGCAAGGCTCACTGGGATGCCAAAAAATTTGTAGAGTTAGCCTTACAATGCCCTGGTTCATTCACACTGCCACATTCAGAGTTGAAAGGGAGACTTATTTAAATGATAATGAGGAACAATACGTTGGATTTAGTGCTGCAGTGAGAGGAGAAAAAATCCATTACACCATCCGCGGTTCATAAGCCATGGGGCTGGGCCACATCTAAACACGCTCCCTTAAAATACATTCTAAGCAGCACTCAATGGATTTGCCTAGCACTTAGGACTTCAAAAAAGGATTAAGATACAGGCTGAGAGAGAATGAGAGAAAAGCGAAAGTGAAAGAGGGAGAAACGGGGCGGTAGGGTGAGCGGGACAGCAGCTGTTTTGGGGTTAACCAAACAACCTCTTTAAAAAGAAATGGGGGTGAACCTGCTTCTTAATCCAAACCCATTTTCACACTAACTCGACCCCCCTACACCCTCCCTTTTGCATCACTCTACATTTCTTGGGCCCTGACAGATTTGGTGACAAGTGGGAGGGGGCGAATTGTTTAGCTATGGACCAGACTATTGGTTAAGATAGGGCAGCGGATGAAAAGAAGCCAATCGGGACACAACGAAGCGTGAAGTCAGCAAGCGAACAGACGGCTGAGATGCAGTAGGTGTTGCCGGCCCTCTGTGGGCAGCTTCTGTGACATGGTGGGTGGGTTCGAAACTATCAGTGTCATTACTTTCATGCCAGATCCAAACTCATTCCAAACTCGAAAACATCCTCACTGTTCGGAAACACAAACGCTTCTATAGTCAGATTAGACAAAGCATATTTATTTTGATGCAAATGACAATGAAATTATAAGGGGCAAATACAATTCTACAATGATTCGTGAAACAAAACTTATGATTTTCACCTGTCGAATAATAAAATTGGTAAAAAATTTGAAAAAGTTGTATAAATATCAACTACCATTCAAAACATAGGGTAAGATTTTTTATTTATTTTGTTTTTATAAAAGTCTCCTATGCTCACCAAGACTGCTTTTATTTACTCAAAAATACAGTAATATTGTAAAATATTATTGCAATTTAAAATAACTTTTTTTTCTATTTTAATACGTTTTAAAATGTAATTTATTCCTGTGATGGCAAAGCTGAATTTTCAGCAGTCATTACTTCAGAAATCATTCTAATATGCTGAGTTGGTGCGTAAGAAACATTAATTATTATCAATGTTGAAAACAGTTGTTCTGCTTAATATTTTGATAGAAACCATGATTTTTAAGGACTTTTTAATTAACAAAGTTTACAAGAGCATTTATTTGAAATAATTGTATTACAAATGTCATTTCTGATCAATTGAACGCACCCTTGCAAGTATTAAAATCTTAAAAAGGTCTTGAAAAACTGTAGTGTATACTGAAAGTGGGAATCAAGCCACAAGGGACTAGAACACACCTTAGCAAATAGCAACCACTTAGCAATGTCCTAGCAACCATCCAGAACACCAGCAACATGACTTAGAACATGTTAGCAACCACATAGCAACACCTTAGCAACAGCCCACAATACCCTGTGTCTATGAGTTTTCAAGCAGTCAAGCAACACTTACAATTTCATCAGAAAATGTAAAACTTTATTCAGAATAATGCAGCTGTTGTATGTTGTTGTGTAACTTCACATCAATCATTCAGGTGACGGAACATTAAATATGTGTCTTTCCACATATGAGCAAAAGTGAGCAAAAATGTTTAAATCATTTGCAATGTAATTTTGCATTTCCCTTGTGAACACATTAACATTATGCAGTGCAAATCAAGCATGCAATTCATGAATGTTGAGCTTGATTAGTGTTAAAGTCAGGAATGTTTGCATCAAGGCCACACTGCAAAAACAACACATACAAATCTGATTTATTTCCACATTTGAAAGTGGTCCAGATCGAAATTGAAAATGTCAGATGAAATGTCAGAAATGGTGTACAGACTGTCATCCAAAAACCAGATCTGACACACATTTGAGGGGGGGGGGGAAATCAGATTTGAGCCATATGTAAGAGAGTATGACAAATTGAACAGACTCTACTTCCGTCTCTTTTTCATTCATGTCAAATTAAAGAAAGTCTTGTCTGACTATATTCATTAATTCATTAACAAACTCTTTCTATAATATCTTCACAAGAGCCAAAGCCATGCGAAACAAGTGGACGGGTTACGTTAAAACAAGAAGATCTTAGCAAATGCAGGCACCGCTCAAATGGCAAGCCCCAACATTAGCTGTTTTTTAAATCATTGCGCTCCTGCCCCCAGTTCTTTGAGATCCTGCCATCCCCCTCGTTTGTTTCCATTTCCTTCTGACACTCCAGCGACAAAAACGAAATCCAGTTCTATCCGCCTCTGAAGCGCATAGATCGTTAGTTAGCGGCGCACACGCCTAAGTGTCTTTGAAGTGGGTATGAAAAGCGTATTTGGTATGCAAAGAAAATTAGCATGTATGGCGAATCACAAGGAAAGATTTTTTACACCATTTAACGATGTGACAGTGATGAAAGATGATCCTGTTTACAAAGCTAGCGTTAGCGCAGCGTCCGGGCCTCGTGCGACGGGACGGGAACGAACGGGCTCCGCAGATCTCTCGCTGTCTGTGTCTTTCTCTCGCTCCGAGATGGACAGATAGGCCTACAGATGACATGGATATGGCGCTCTGCATTTTAGCACCATTTCTTTGGCAGGAGATTAGAGGGAAATGTCATATCTGGCACTGTCAGCCATTACAGTCTGCAAGTTTCTGCAGTCTTTCAGCCCTCCCTCCCTCTCTCTGTCTGCCCGTTGTTCTGTCGCTTTTTGCTGTCAAAACTGTCAGCCTGGATCACGCTTTTATCTGCCTCGAGCTCGTTTCTCTCTCTTCAATCGCTCTCCCTCTCTGACTTTTTCATGAAAAACAGCCTTTTGCACAAATTCATAAATGATGGCGGTGAAGGGTGGGAGGGGGAAAGCGAAGACTGAAATTTCCCTCCGAATCCTTAACAGCCTAAGCATCACACTTAATCTCTTCATTAAAAACATTTTATTATTGTCATCATCTTCTCCTATCCTTCATCCTCAGCTCGCTGAGGCGCGCAGCCTCTCCGTCTCCGTATTACAGATCCATCTGAATGAATTTGCTGGGGATTTCAGACGTGCGTTTGACAGGCGTTAGTTAGGGATGCGTATTCAGCTAGTCTCGGGAGAATTAGACACAAATTCTCATTACCCCTCTCTCAATCACATTATTTCTTCATTCAAGCACTAACCAACACCCTACCAGTATTTCTTTCTCTTCAATATTCAGCTGCATTACTGAGAAACGGCCAGACACAGGGAATCTTTTCTACAAAGACACTGGTGAGAAAAACGCTCTGAGTTGACCATGAGTTAACGCAAACTAACTGCTTATGAAACCTATTAGATCAGTGGTTCTTAAACTTTCTGACTCCAAGGACCCCCACTGTCCACACCATTATTTGAAGGCCCTATGACTTTTCCAGTTGTTTTCTGGGTAAGAATTAAAAAAAAATGTATACCAAAAATTTCAATTACTACCTGATTATTTCATTTCATTTTGTTTTTTTGGCATTACTAGAAAAATGTAAATTAAATTTAAATAAATATTTTATATATTTTTATTTTATATATTTATAAATATATATCTTTTAATGTTTTAAGCATTTTTATAAACATTATATATTTTTATATTATATTTAGATTTCTCGTTATTGTAAATTAGGCTATTTACAATAGTTTTTCAAGACTGTGGGAATCCTCGTTCTTCAAAGATATTGGTTGGTGATCCCTTGTTTAAGAACCGCTGTATAAAATAATTTAAAAAGTATGTAAAAGAAAATACCAAATAAGAGTCTAAGCCTATGTAAAAAAGACTAAGTCTACTCAAAAATTATACGTTTGCCGTCAGTGATAAATGGCTTTAAGCAAGAGCATAATATTATGCATTAGAACAAATGTAAAAACAAATTACAAATGTATGTGCGTATACACCTCTTGTGCATCCAACTGTCATTTTGCTTGAAAAGACATATAAGAACACTTAAATGCATTGATAACTGAATGAGACTTCTGCCTGACTTTTAACAAATTTGGCTGTTAAAGGCCTCTCCTGTGGACCTCTCCTATTGGTTGTCATGAATACTGGCGTCATAATGACATACTTCATTGTGCTTACCTCACTGAGCCGATCTTTGGAGCTGCTCCTGGGTGCTGCGTTCACCTCCGTCTCCTCCATTTTCCTCCCAGCCTGGTTCAGAAGACTCAAGGACTAGATAGAGTAAAGAAAAATAAGACTTTAGAAGTAGAACAAGAGCTTTATATGGCTGTTGTAACCCTATAATAACAGCTTATCTAGAAAACCTGGCTCTTCACACATGTTTGGAGCACCACTGTGCAATGATGCACTCTTGCATCTTCAAGCAGAGCCATATTATCTCATCGAAACAATGTTGGGATGGATACTATGAGACAGAAAGACTTCAAAGAGACTCAATATTCTAATCAACGGACAACTAAGCAACTTTGAAAGGTGATTCTTTCATCGGTTTGCTTTGGAAAATTCCCAAGAGGTACCTGGTTGTGCCTGGAACCAGAGCATTGTCTTTACTGCTTTTATCTGGTGCACACAGAGCATTAGCCCGTGAAAACCCAAAGTGTGTGTGGAGGGCAGGTGAAGGAGGTGTTTTTTGCTGGAACTGTGAAATGTAAGTAGTGATGAAGGCAGCTTTATGGACTCCTGTGATCTGATTGGTGGAATAGCTTAGGGCTGCTCTAAAAACTCCCTGTTCGACCTGTATTTGAAGATTCACTGATTTGAATGCATGCAAAAGGGCCACAGTTCACCTGGAAATGACATTCACTGACCATGTCCTATGCTTGAATGGCCATCTGCAGATAAAGATACACACGAAATTATACAGTACAGATGGATCTGTATTTTGTCTAAAGGCTTGGCCACATCATTTTCATTAGTGTGTCCTATATACTATATTTGACAATATATGTGTATGAGTGTAATTGTGTAATTACTACAAAGGCATAAATACTATGCTTTACCTACAATGTCTTTATCAACATGGGGGGGGGGGGG